ATCTAAAATATCCGAGACTTTACAAACAATATCCCCGGGATTTTTCATGAATAATAGGATGACTAGAGGTTTATAAACAAAACACCAGAACAAAAAAGGGAGAGAAGTTAGTGTCATTACTGCAGAATTTATTGTGGTCTTGCCGTTAAGATAAGATAAGATAAGATGGTGAATTTATGGCCTGATAGCGTGTACTTATACGTAAGTATGGATCGAGTCACGAATGTAGCTGTCCCATGTCCCAATTTCAAGTGTGGCAGACATTGTCCTTCCGATGACCCTGCTGCCCTGTAAAGAAGTACTTATCATACTGTATAGATATTTTTTTTAACAAAAAACATCAGATCTGAATCGGAAAGGTTATTGATCAAATTTGGCCAAAATCATTCTTATAATTTCGCTGATTCCAAGAGAAGCAGTCAGTTCTAAATCTGCAAGCACTCTTATATTATGATGATAACTGTTAGATGATACGATAAAATACATCATCGTTTGTTCTACTTTCCTTTCAAATATGTTTGAAATTCAGAACATTATTAAAACACTATATGACGTTCAATGTGCAATGCCTAGAATGTACTTTAAAAAACTAAACACATTTCCTTGTTATTTATGGTACAAGTTTATTATTGGCGATGCTCGAGTGTCGACTGGTGAAATAAGATAGTTGGCATAGTGTGACTCTTGTGTTTTTACATAATATTGTCTTTAGAAACATGGTAGAGATGTATGTGATAAGATCAGTGTATAAGATATGGAATGGAATGTACCCATAACAACCCCTGCGTACAATCTTATCATCAAAGACTTGGTATCTCTTACAGTACACATCATGCTTTATCACTACGACATCTTTCATTCCTGAAACTCGGAGACTATCAGAACATTTTTGAATCATTATGTTAGAACTTATGCCCCTATTTTCCTTATACATATTTGTGACACACCCTTTAATGTAATCTGCGATATCAGCTTAAGCTGGAAGCGGGCGTTAACTAGTAATCTACCAACCAAACATCAACCTTCGATATAATCTTTTTTTTACGGAGCGGATGAACGTTTTATGGCAGTAGGTGTTATTTATATAGTGAGTTGAAAATGGGGCACGACAATTGACGCCATCGTTAGTCGCTTTTGAGAGCTATCAAACAGTTATATTTTCGATCATCTAATAGAGGATTGAAATTATAGTGTTAGAAACGACTTTTGTTGTTATCCGCGTAAGCGATAGCGTTACTCGATAGACAGTAAGAACGGGACTAGCAACCCAAGGGAGATAAATGCTGTGAACATTTCTTTACACTACCGTGTACAGAATAAAAAAAAGTGAAAACTTGTAACAGTACGTTAGGTAGTCCAAATACTCAAGCTCGGGATGAATATTGTCGCTAGGGGAGATGGCATTATTAAACCAATGTTTGTGTGTATCGGTTTAGAAATATTTTATTGTTACATTGGTAATTTTGGGGCATGATGGAAGGGTAAACGCGACCTCAATCATATTAAATAAATATGCTCATAGGACGTCAATGATTTAGCATGCAAAGTGAGCACGATGTAACCCCCGTTCACTTACTCAATAACTAAATGTATTAAATACTCAAGTTGCTTTAAAACAAAATTGAAAGGTTCATACAGTGCATGCTGCCGACGGAATCTCCAGATTTTACGAAATTTTTGTTAAAGTTATAAGTACCATATGAATGACGGTATTTGTGATCATTGCTCTGTTGGTAGTGGTACATTATTACTATATTGCTTACAATAACAGGAATTTCACAACGTGGCGTTAAACTGTAAAACTTTCGTTTTATTGTTGAGGAATCGTTCAGGCCATAGATCACATAACTTGAATATGTTTATTATTTACTTTTAATAACAATTGACACATTATACATGGTATTTGAATTTGGAGCTTATTATATTCCAATTTGAAAACAGTTTGCAGCTTACTTATTCTTTGAACAGTTTCTACTTTGAATCGTTGGTAATGGTTAAAACAGATTGACGGAAGTATTGTGTGTTAAAATTTTTTATCAAGTGAATTCCAGTGAAGAAAACCTTCATATCGTATTCTGTGAATTTTTGTTAAGAGTATATTTCAATGTTTTTACCAGATGTTTGAAATAGTTACAAAAAAAAAATCCCCAACCCTTTTAGAAAGGTTGTTACATTATATGAGTATATTTTTAAGAAGAGGAAAACGATCCCTTCTATATTGTTGCCAATTTCTTTAGTAGTATAAGGTTTTATGATTAGTAGTGTGAACTTAATGCATTTTAGACAGCATTTCTGTTATTACTTCAGATAGGTAAAATGAATACACATCAACGTCCATGTTAAAATATCGTGTCAAGGGACGTAACTCATTCTATCGTGGTTTCTTTTATCTTTGTTAAAGAGTGGAGATTTGTTCTACTTCGATAGATTATTGAAATAGGAAGTCTTTAATACGACAGTAATTTTGTTTAGCAGTATGATTCTTAATCTTCTCTTTCCAATAAAAATAACGAATTTAATGTTACTCCATGTCCCCCGAAGAAATATATCGATAAATTACGATTAATATTTACGAAGAGGGGTTTAGAGTCATACAAAACTTTCCAAAAAATTAATTTAAGCTACCAAAGGGCCTTTACTTTGGTCGGATTTTATCAAATGTATCTTATTTATCCTAAAAAAAATTTCATAATGTTTGTCTAATATAATATCTCCTATTCTTTCCCAGTAAGACTATAATGTCAATTTGATGCGATTGTGGGCTAAACAAAAAGCGCAATTTTTATCGCTTTAGGCTGATTTTCAGAACATAGGACAAATGAATAAAAGATGTTCTGTAATATTTTTTTTATTTTTATCGTTGTGAACACAATAAATATATTTTCTACAAATTACATAATGTTACTGAAAGACAATTAGAAAATGAGCAGGTCAAGAACAAAAAAAAACAAAAAACAATGGAATAAATGGTGAGAAACAAACACAATTCTTATAGGGTAAAGACTGGAAAATGCACAACAAACTTATTCCAAACTTCGTCTAATATACAAACACATAGATAAATATGATTTTTATATAGTGAAATGCAATATATATTATATTTGTTTATGTTGTGATTGATATGACTAGATAAATAGATAAACAAATTTATATTTTTATAAACATTCAACCCATGTCACTCTCTATGTTATATTAAAATTCACAATGAATGAATACAATACTAAAACCGGTATAAAATTTTTAAAGCTATATGCAAAATTGAAAAATATCTAAATATATAAGCGCCATTGTAACAAAGTGTGAGACATATATGCATTATATATATTTATAATATTTACAAAACAAACTGAACTCTCGACTTACAGTCCACCAATTCTTAATATATTATCACCTTATCTTTTGTCATTATATGACCCAATATATACAAACTATGATCAATTGGATATCCAACTTTTTGCCAAAACTGGTTTCAATTTATACTCTTTCTTCGCAGTGTGCTCAGATAATTTGAAAGAAAATTACATTTAAATGAAGTTTTTGTTTTCATATAGTTTAAAAAAATAATTCAAAATTTAGAGATGTATAGAAAGTGTGCCAATATAAAATCAAAGTTATTCTAAAATTTCCTATTGAATTATTTTTTTGCGTTTAGGTTTAAAGCAGGACTATATATCTGCTACTGGAAACTCAGTCGGTTGTTGGTAATAGTCATTGTAAACGTTAGAAGACTCGACACAGTAATTGTCAGCAAAGCCATTAAATGTTTGTCCGTTAGCAGAGAAATCTCCAGTGCTGCCATTTGAAAAGTTCTGATACATAGATATTTGATCAGTTGAATTAATTCCCTGTTGATAGCGAGTTAAATAATCAGCACTATACCCAGCTGCTGTTTGTGCGGAATGGTTTCCAGACGTCATCTGATGGGAATACGTGTCTGATTTGGTGGGGTAGGTGGTGTTATAAACATGATTTCCGGCTCTATTGTCTCTATTTCCGTACATTGATTCACTATAACCCTGTCTTAACGCCTGATTTCCCGTAGATTGCACACCAAAATTTGTCGGATATTGAAATTGATATTGTAGTCTGTTTTTAAATGAATCCTGTGCTAAACGGTTTTCCGCGGTGTTAGCTTGTTGAGTAAAATGTGATGGAATAATTCCGTGGGGAGATGTTACGGCCACATTATCTTCAGAACTACACATATTATACTGGCTGTAGTGATGATTAGCTTCAGATGATTGTTGTTGCTGTAAACGACAATCTCCCAATGGATTTGAGTTGACACCACTTTCATTAGAATATCCATTAGAAACATTGTTCGCAATCCCGGGGTAATTTCGACCCTGTTCATAGTGAACTTGATCCACGAAATTACCGTGCGAATAGTTCGGATTCGAACCATTATAGGTGGTTCCACAAGCTTTCTGGTTGAGGCGATATCCACCTTCACCATAACTAATTGTATTTGTGTACGATCTTTGAGCAGACGAAGTTATACAAGTCGATACTTCTGGTGTTGACCGGGCCGAGCTGTATGTTTTATCGAGTGTTACTGCACCTGGAGCATATGATAAAGGTGACGTACCAGGCGCTGCGTCCGATGATGATGACCTGTTAACGACCATAGATGGAGATGAAGACGACACTGTTGAATTGGGATTGATTGGCGATGTTGAAGGTCTGCCAGATTGATTAGCACTACAAGTTGATGAAGCCGGACTTGTAGCACTTCTTAGACTATCTGGAGAACATAATCCAGAATCGGTTGACGCATTCGATCCACGAGTTGGTGGACTTGTGGTGGTTCTTTCAACGGGAATTTTAATCTCCATGTTGTTGTCTGGATTTCCGTTTTCAGACTTCACATTTCCAAGATCCATGCCGATTACCTTCTCTACGTCATCTTTTTCACCATGCTCAGAACCAGAATCCCCAAGATCTTTGTCCATCATTTGTGGACTCAAACTGTCATCTCCATCTGATTTAGAACGTCCAGACTGAGATTGACGCTTATATTTCATTCGTCTATTTTGGAACCAAACTTTAACCTGGAAGAGAAATAAAAGCAAATGTATCAGTGGGTGAAATTCCAGAGCAGATGAAGACGTAACTTACTGATAAGATGAAAAGTAACTTACAATCAGCAAGAAATCGATATGACACTACGAACATTTTTTTTAGGGAGTGATGCTCGAGATAAGCTATGAAGTAAGTTTTATCTATTCATCACATGCCAATCTGTTAATCCTTTTTTCTTCTTTCTTTTTCAGTGATGTTGGCAACAACCACCAATCTTTTTTATAACTTATTTACTTCTCTATTTCAACTTGAGAACTTTGATACGATCGTGTTACGGATGCTCGCATTCTTTCTTTGTGATAGAAAAAGCTTTTGATTTCGTGCTGATAAATCAGTATCAAAGAATTTACCTGTCTTTCCGTTAAATCTAAAGAGGCGGCTATTTCTATTCTTCTAGGCCGACACAGATATTTGTTAAAGTGGAATTCCTTCTCAAGTTCCAAAAGCTGAGTATTGGTATAAGCAGTGCGCAGGCGCCGTGACCCTGCTGGACCTGTCTGGTTTCCGCCCACTGTTGTTGGAGTATACACTGTAAAAGAGAAAAGGGAGTATTATTAAACACGTTTAGAGGACAATGACAAATATAACTCTTTTCTAAATAATATATATTTAAACACGTTCACTTTTTAATCTCAATCTGACGACTGAGTCTTTTATTTAGTCTAGTATTTAGATAGTTTCATCTGGAGGACGACCCTCTCGCCACCAAGACATGGTGCAATAAGAATCAAGGAAAGGGTCAGTTTATCTTTATTCTTAAGGTCACCTTTGATATCAATATACTTTCTACATGAAGACAAAAATCATAAAGGAATAATGTACGAAACGCACTTTGCAAAAGGTGTGCACACATACCACGCAATGCTCTTAGATGCAATGTGTGCCTTTGGCAATATTAATTCTTTAAATTATATCCATACGCAAAAATCGTTTTTTTGTTCAACTACGATTCATAATAAACATTGTTCAAGTTCAAAAAGTTTCAATAAATTCTAAGATTATTAAACTTTTTTACTATTATTTAAGAACAACGCATTGATCTGACTAATTTGTACATTGAGAAAATTCAGGTGTAATTTGTGTGTGTAAAGGTGTTTTAAACAGGATGACAATTGTTATATTTGTAATCAATAATTGTATTAAAGACCATTAAAATTGTAGATATGAAAGTCTTTGTATTCAACTCCATATACACAACGTGGAACATTGATTTTGAGAAGCAGATGGTATCGTAGCTAAACTCTCTTAATCGATGCTGTAAATAGTTCAGATAGGGAGAATATTTTAACGGCCCATTTTTTATGAAGATTCTGTAGAGATATATTATAGTTTTTCGTAAAATAATGCAAGGAAAATATATAGACATATATAGCTGGTTGGTTTTATAAATTAAAGCTTTATGTAACAAACAAATATGCGAACTCGAAATTAGCATGTACATGCAGTTTGAACAATTGCCAAAGTTACGTTACGGTTGCATACTCTACAAATAGAAAATCTGCTTATTATATCTTAAATAAATACGCGGGAAAATATAAGTTAAAGTTTTTGTTGTAATGCGTTGAGTGATTCTATCTGTAAAACCCATTTCAAAACATAACTTAGAATCCAAATAAAAACATTTCTAAGTGATATACATCAAAGAATAACTTCGTTTAAAAATATCAAGTTAGTATAATATATACAAAATCTTTATCTTGAATATTTTTTCTATCTTGAACAAAATATATGATTTACGCTTCATCGAATTCGAATATGATTCAAGTAAATCTTGTATTTGTATTGAGAATACAAGGTGTTATTGAGATTCTCAGTTAAAAGCCATCTGTATGTAAACTTTGTATAGAAAAAGTTAATCTCTACAATAATATATAATATTGAACGACCAATGATGTATTTTGTAGGGAAGGGAACCAGCTTGAAATAGTTGACATTAACCGTCTATCTCCATAGTGAAACGATCAAGCGAAAACATTGATATTTTACTCTTGCTTTTCATATTCTATGAATGAATTTAATCGTAAGGAAATTTGTTCAAATAAATTGAATTACATGAATGAAAGGTCCAATCGGTGGATTATTTTCAGTATTATGTTATACACTTTCTGTTTTAACAATGAACGAAAAGTGATAGGAATATTTTCCTTTCGTATAACTATTAGCCCTGCCAATTTGCACGTTGTCACAATAAAATATCTGGAGTAAAAGGTCATCCTAAAAGATGTTAAAAATTCAATATCCCAAGAGCTACTGAAAAGGAAAGTTGTCAATAACTTTTTTGAGATCTTTTTATCATAATTCGACTATTAACAACATAATGGTATTCAGCAATAGAATAAGTTGCGTATGAAACCAGCGGAAATCTCTCATGCATCAGATATTTTATAAACCAGATCTTATTGTAAAAATATGGCTTTTCACGTGATATATGAAATTAGAATAATTCAAGAGAAGTTTTTCACCATTTAACTAAGAATGATTGAATCATTCGAAATGCACCAACACACCAAGTTAAGTGAGTTGTCTCGTCCAACTTGATTTGCCATAATCGCGTCTTCTTATCGTTATTTTATGGCAATTTTATAACTTGATAGAGACTCCACGTCATCGGTGGGAGAAAGGAAGGGGAAAAGTATGGATGAAAGTTCAGACGTGAGCAATGATAGAAAGGTTATTGGCAGGAATTGAGAAATGAAGACGATGAAGTGGAACTAATGTGCCTGAGTTTGTATCGTCTTAACGAATCTTAGAGAAAATAAATCATGGAAGCTAGACATAATGTTTCATAATGATTCTATCACTAACACAGTCGTTGTGATATAATCACAAATATCATCACTATTATTATCTAAGTTTTCTTTCAGTGGGACACATGCTCTATTCTCGAGGCTTACTTTATCTCTTGGCAATGTTCTATTCCTGAAGCATTTAACAACTTTTATCCTCAAGGTTTACCTGTAACCGCAGAAAATAAAAATAGAATCGATGTGTCTTATCCGAAGTTTATAATTGTTTCTGTGGTTTGAAACGTGTCTAACATTGGTTTCATTAGCGTTAAAACAACATGACAATCCAGATAGTTTTCTTATCGACTATTGGGTCTTGAACTTTATATTTTAGTGACTTATCTGATTCCAACATTATATAATTCTCACTTTCAGCTATCAGATGATATTTCTATTCATTTTAATTTCCGTTACAAAGGTTACACAAGGTATTGTCATCTTCAATAAATTACAAAGTCATTTCAGGAAAGTGGTAAGGTTTTCGAGGTAAGGTTCGAGATGAATCTTTTATAAACTCTTTTAATGATAATGTCGTATTCTGATATAAGAATCATGTCCATTACTACAAAATTAATCATGCTGGGCTGAAATTAAACCCCAATTATGAATTACAAGGCTTTACGACAAGGTAAACTATATTCAACTAACTTTTATTCACTGTATTATTCATTGTAGGTTGTATTCTAAACAGATCGCCGCTTTCTCAACGCTCTTTATATATTATTGTCGCATTGTTGTCACATAGAATACGTCTCCGGTCCCATGACCAAGATATATTTCATGAATGACAGTTAACGCCACATTAATTTTAATATGGAAGAGGTGTGAAAAGACTCTATAAAATTAAGCACAATGAAGAGAGAAATCAGCAGATATGTCGTAAAATAGCGACCCTAATTTATCCCCTCCAGTGTATTGACGCGTGGTGCAAGTATTTTACATGGTAACATCTATAAATGCTCGTCTAATTACTCTGTTATAATACAACAACATTTATCTTAACATCAGAAACTATCAAAATTTAACAACTGCTGGAAAATTGGCAGGTATATTATGGGATAAATGAAAACAATGCAGGATGATATTAATAACCAAAACTTTATGACTCGAGTGTTACAAATATTATGAAAAGCCTTTTCATAGAAATTTAGGGCATGTGGGTGGCTAGAAGTTGTAAAATTGAAGATTATAATTTGAATCTCTTAATACTAGTTTTATTGCGATGTTTCGGAACTTTGAATTATGTTACTGGTTTACAAAATTTTAAAGGGTGGGGGAATTATTTTGATATATCTTTTTTGATTTCAAGTATATATTTCCTGTATATTATAACTGTTTATGAATGAGTTTCGCTTTTAAAAAAAAACTCACTGATTTGACCTTAGTTTGATTTATAATTTTTACGATTTTTACAAATTTAGGATAATGCTTTGGGATACGTGCCGCTAGTCAACTGGAAAGAGAGAACATTATTGGGCGTACACAGGAAAACTTTGTACCTCATTGTAAATTTTTTGGCTTTATTATTCTTAATAAAAGGCTTACTTTATACGACAACCCTTGTTGAACGTCTGGGAATTCAAAATTTAACAATCGTCTTCCAAATACAAAATTCCACCTTACAGAACTTTTCAACAAAAACTACTCTAATCTGAAGAATTCTTGTCATTTTAATAAAGCTTTCTTCAAGAGTGTAGATTGCACATTCCTTTGATGCCAACAGATTCTAGAATCTCAATTGTAAGGAATAATTAGAGTATTTGATATATCTTTTAACAACTACACCAACCTTCCTTCGTGACGTCTTTCAGCTTGATAACTGACCAGTTAGACTTCTCAGACCACTACCAATGGTCCAGTTGATGGTTCTAACACATTTTGTTTTGGATTTGCCAGGCTGTTTGTCTAGATTCCAATTTACACATGATTGTTTATAAATACGGTACCTTTGTTTACTATTTTACACGCCAATATCAAACTGTATACACCGTATTTATTTACATCTTATTTGTTAGTGAAAGCATAATTATTCTACCATTTACAACTTTAATAACTTTACTGTCATTACTAATAGGACATTCCTAAATCTAGTCAAGCAGATCTTTAGAATCAAGGGCAGTGTTTGTTACAATACAGAAAGACAGGTCTTGAGCCGCTTTGGTCCCAAATCCATTTGTAGTAACCCAGGTAGGCAATGATTGCTTTTGCGACCTTTCGTTGGTTTTAAGAATTCGTTTATTTCAGGTAGTTGTTGCAAGGTACCATGGTCACATTCCGTGGTAACCGACTTCAATCAGTGTAGTACTTCTGAATAAGTTTCAATTTTCTGGAATGTAGCTAGTATGTTGAGAATAATCATATTTTTATTTTCTCCATTTAAATCTAAAAATTAAATATCACTAGTTCGTTCGAGTACAAGAAAAAAAACAGTGCACTTTGAAACTTGAGCCAGAACCAAAACATTTGATTCAGTAAAAAAGCAACATTCATGAACATTAAGCACTTTTTACTGACTTGATCACCATGTACTTTTTGTGGTGGACACAAACGTGTCTATGTTAATTATTTTTGTACTTTGCTAATTCAATCAGTGATCTGAAAGGTGTCAATCTAGCAGATTTTCTCTAATGTTGTTTTCTAATCAAATTATCAAATCTCATTTACACCACTGTTATATTTATAGTTTACATTCACGATTGATTTTTCTACATGACAATAGGCGATTG